AGTCAGCACTTGTTGGCCCAGTGGATGTGCACTAAGGGTGACTACAGAAATGCTATGACACATGAGAAAGAGGCCTTGACTGCCTTTACCTCTCTGGTCAGTAAAAGTTTGAGAGAGGAAGTAAAGTGGGTGACTGACTGTATTTGCATAGACTTAAATTTTTTTATTTTTCCCTGCCCCCCTCTTTAGTTTGGAGAAGATCACCCACAAACACGCTGCAGCAAAGACTTCCTGTCCACCATAACCAAGCAAGCGGTAAAAGTTGAACGCACTCTCAGACAGGCAGGAGCTGAGTGCACAGAAGCAACTGTGGAGGTAGGTGCCTGAAAGCATATGCAACTCTCTTTCAAAGGAAAAAGTAAAGCATGCTAAACCCCATTGTTCTCCATTTCCCGCAGTGTCTCAGTCCAACACCCGACATTATTCTGGAGCAGATGGTTCTAGTTACGGGGATCAGGAATATTACACAGAGGTAAATATTCATAGTGGGATGGCATACCCAGTGTTACAGCAATATGACAATGCACGTCTCAAGCCTGGACCCAAAAATGGACTTTAGAAATGGTGTTTTTAAATTCTAGTTGGATTGTATGTGGCTTATTTCAGTATTAGCATTTCTTATGTATAAACCCACTTATGACACGACTGTTTTCACAGTAATAGGTTCCAGGAGTATAAGCAGAAACATCTTGAGCTAAAGGCTGCAGTGGTGAAAGAGCTGGGACTAAAACTACCTAATGTCGCCTCAGTGGCTGTGACTGGAGGAGGGAAATGTTCAGACCGAGAAAAGGGATGTGGGAAGGAACCAGAGGGTGGGGGAAACCCAGCAGAGGATACAAGCAAGTGCCAGCAGGACCAACAAGTAGAAGGATCTCTGGAGAGCACTGGGAAAGTTTCAGCTAATTGTCATGTGACTGAGCAAAACCAGCAAAAGGAGAAAACCAGTGCCGAAGGTGACAAAGCGGCCTCTGATGAGGTCAAAACGGTAAATGATGAGATGGAGTCGAGCTCAGGCGAAATGAATGGAAGGATGGACGTCCCTGCAAGCCCATCGGCCCTGAGAAGTGACGTGAGCTGGGCAGATGTTGTTTCAAAGTCCAGAGGCAAAGCTACAGCCGTAAATAGAGAAGGAGATGGCAGCACTGCCAATGGACCAGCTGAAGAATGATCACGAAGCCAACAAACAGTTGTAATAGTTTTCCAAAGTCACTGCTGTAAGATTAAAAAAACCTCTTCCAGTATTTCCTGATGAAATTTGATCCAATGAACAAGAAGGACAGAATGACTATTACTTTATCCTGAAGATTTTACCTTAGTACTGACTCGGAGAGGGTTTAACCTTTTTTGTTTTTTCAATAATAAAATTTTTACCTTGGTGTATTTAAAAAGTGTGCCTTCAGGTTTGTTTCTTAATGCACTTACATGACATGACTTTATATCATGTGAATGTTAAAACTCTAAACTCATCTGTAACTCAGGATGCATCTGTTCCAACGAACCAACCAAATTTAAAGTTCTATTTGTACACATGTGAGCTGAAGCACTGGAAGTTAGACTGTAAAATAAAAAGGGTTAGCTTTTATAAAATCTTACTACTCTATATAAAACTGAATCTGATTGGTCCAAACATAAGAAATTCAACTTATTGTCTTTATATAATTAAATTACCAATGTGACTGTTGAACCCTATGAGAATTTCTATTAATGTGATTATAAATAAAATCTGTGGAGTTGATAAAAGTTGAATTTTTGTAACATGCTAATGTGTGTTTGCTTGGTGGGGTGTGGAAATCAGTTTATGACTTGCGCTTTATGACATGTTATTTTGCTCGAAGCAGCCATCAGAAGATGGGCACTGTGGTGTTTAAATAATGCCTAGTTTGCACTAAAGAGCCAAAGTGTCAAGAAAATCTCCCAAACAACACTACGAGCCTGAATTATAGATATAAGGCAGAACGGATCCATGCAAATCATTGCCTCAGTTTCCTGTTCTTAGCTGACAAGAGTGACAGCCGGTGTGGTCTTCTGCTGCTGAATCTCACCTGCTTCAACATTGTGTGTTCAGATATGCTCTTTTGCATACTTTGGTTGTATCGTGGCTAATTCAGGACCAGACACACAAAATGTTACAGTTCTATTAAAGAATTTGTTACGGCTGAATAAAGTCAGACATGAGCAGGATTTGTTCCAACAATTTTTAATTCTTGTGCTCTTCTTGAATAGATTGCATGGTCCACAGCTCAAAATAATCCTTGTTTTATAGTGGGCCTTCATGCCCAGCCCCTCAATTTGTCACTGTTTGTAAAGAAGCTGTTTTAGCTCTCCATTTTATGCCAGCTTTCTTTTGATTGGCTTCTGCTGACAAACAGAGGGTTTGAACAGTAAGTGGGTGGGGCTTCTGTCCCATACATCTGGAACTGACCAAATTAAGGTTCTCTGATGGTCTTAGTTTAGGGCAGTCTGATGCCTGAGGTTCTAGCTCACTGGAAAACTCTGAAACTTGGTTGATGTTTAATATGAAAACCCATCATTGTCACCATATATAATTAAGTAAAAGTACAACAGGTCCATTAAAAAAAACAACTAGTCATATGAATGACAACAGTCAATAACAAATGTCCTATATCCATCTCCTGCCTCAGCTCTGAGTTTCCTTCAGTATAATCTCCAAATCAGGGCTGTGTGGGTACTGTGGTTCAGGTGACTCTGCCCAGGTAGACTGTGGGAGTCCATTAAGGCTGTTGGAAGGAAATGTGATGACTGCTGTGTCATTGAAGACGTCTATCAGATGAGATGGGCATACAAGCTTTCTCTCCACACTAAAATCCACAGCCTTACTGATGTAGCTGTAGTCTCGCGTAAACTCTTTCTCGATCGTTCTGTTGGGGAAACAGACAGATGTCAACTTCATCTCCACTGCTCTTGCTTAAACGTTTACTCCATCGTCTACGTGTCGTCTCGTACAAACCTATCCCTCATCCCACTGAAGCTGTTTCCGATGATTATCATCAGAGGGAGACCCCGTGCACTCCAGTTCTTCCACAGAAGGTTGTTGTAGAGGGCTTTCCCACAATGCATCAGGTAAAAAAATGTGGGTTTTTCTACCAAACGTTTCCCCTCCTGAGCAATACAGACACAGAGGATCACACACTGTTTGCACAGTCTACTCCCCTAAACAATTTTGTAGTCCCCATTTTCAATATAAAATGGATAATAAATAATAATATAGTTGACATTTGGAAGAACTGTAAAGTTTTATGTACTATATGACACAGTTCTCTTTAGTATATGCCTATTAACAGTGTTTCACTTAATTACCAGGACACGAGGGAGCAACAACTGACCTCATTTTCTGAGAGTACAGTCAGACCCAGGTCTCTCAAAACATCTCTCTCTCCAGAAGAGAAGACTGGATCATAGACTGAGCAGTCCTTTAGAGGAATCTGAAGACATTAACAGGGAGAGACAGAATATGTATAACAAGCAGGGTCTAGTGTGAGTGTTTGTCATCTAACTGATGATGAAGCCTCCCCTGACCTGTCCTGCTTCCAGTAGAAGAAGCAACATGGCAAGCTGGTAGCGGGCTGAGACACAGGAGGCAAACGGACCGAGGCCATAACACACACACTCCAGCTGCTGGCATGTCCTGGGGATCCGCTCCGGCTGGTCCTCAGCGTCCTTGTCCGCTGGAGATTTGGAAAGAGATGCTGATGCCGCCACCAAGAGCTGCTCTAAAGGCAGAAACGCAATAACACACACAGCTGCAAGCCAGATGCTTGGTGGTAACCCCAACTTTCAAAGCAAAACCTACCCTTCCAATCGTGCCAAAACTCTTCGCATCTTAGTTCAGACCTGCAGAGGTAAAATAAAGGCAGAGTTATGGGACTGTGGTGAAGATGAGACGTCCGAGGTGTTGCTGCTGAGCTATTCTTGAATTCCATACATGGTGTCTCTGATGCGTTTAACGGTTTTCCCGACGTCCAGCGACTCCTGGCCGCATGCTGCAGACACCTGAAGAGACTTTGAGCTCTTCGACGCACCTTTTCGTCGCCGAGCCACCTGCCACTCCCCTCCGGTGTCCGACATTTATGCTAACTTAGCACCAATATCCCTGCATATCATTTTTTTAAAAAATCGTCCAATTATCAAAGGACAAAACGCATTTTTTTTCCTTCAGTAGACAAGTGACCAACATATGGGAATATTTAGGGTGTAACACGCGTTTCCTCTTCCGGCGTTACGCCAAATTTGTAGTCCATCAAATAACATCCACCTGGTGGTGGTGTACGGTCATTAAATCACTATAGAAATAATGCACAGCTCGGTTGATTTAAAGAAACTGCGATATTTATTTTTATTTTTATTTTTAAATATACTATTACTATATATAATTATGTATATTATTGTAAAGCAAACTAGAAATTGCCCCGTTGTTTTTAGCTAATTTTGTTTATTAATTCATTCTCATATAGGACTTTGCAGTGTGGTTTTATGTATTTTTGTATGTACTTATTTAATATTTTATTTAACCAGTGTGTCCCAAATTACAGATCATGATTCACTTTTATAGTGAAGTCACTGCGACTTTTATCTTTAATAATTTTTAGGTATTCATGTTCAAACATTGCCTCAAATTACTACGAAATAAAATAAAATTCTGAAAGTGGGTAGGCACATTTTTTTCTAACTAAATAAACAAATAAATACATTTTGAAATGCATTTAATATATTTAACATATGAAGCTTTTTTAAACTAATAGTATGATGTAATATGAATTTCTATTAACCTGGGGAAAAAACAAAACTGAGTTTTATATACCGTGTTTTTATTATTATTATTATTATTATTATTATTATTTACAACTGAAACGAACATTACTTCGCAAAGTCAATGAAATAAACGCATCTTTGCCCTTTCTACGCCAACAGTCATTACTAAGAACCAACGAAATATTTTAGAGGGGTACAGAATTTGGTGTAACACCATTATACCGGAAGTACTTGTGTTTTCGTGCACTAAACGAAGGAGCGTTAGTGTGGATTTCTTCTCATCGTTTTTGAAAGAAAGCATGTCCAATTGATCTCCACGCCGACCTTTATATAACTGTTCAGGTGCGTTAGAGAACATGGTGTTTGCACTGCTCTCAACACTCGAGATTATTACGTATAGCAAGACATTCATGCTGTAGAGGGTAACTAACCTTAGCTGTAGCTCGTTATCGTTAGCTTACATTACGTTTTCTCCACAGAGATGAATTTGTTCGGTGTCGTTAGTGTCAACTAGCAACCAAATATTTGAGATAGTGATGTGTATGTTTAAGACGCTTCTCTATAAAATAAAAATTTACTTTACATTTACACTGATCAAATTTTTGCGACACTGTTGCTGATCCGGAATCTGCAGCAATAGAGCCTCAAAGTGTGGACAGGCTGACAGATGAGGTCGGGTAGGATGTTCTCAGATAACGTTGCGGTCTGTAGTTAGAGTAGGGAGCAGGTGAAAGAGCCTGGACTGCTGGAGGTATGCTCTGGAGAACAGAGGACATGTGAGAGGATGAGAGAGAAATGGGTGTAAAAGTAACGACGAGGACGGAGAGTGGTTTGATATGGAATCCAAGATATTGAGCTGCTAGGCAGGAGGAAAAGAGGTAGACCACAGAAGAGATTCATAGAGGAAGTGAAGGAGGACATGTTGCTGTGCTAGAGGAGGATGTTAGGGACAGTGTTAGAGGATCTGCTGTGGCGACCTCTAAAGAGAACAGCTGGAATAAGAAAAATGTTATGTTTTATTATAATGTGTTTGATTTTGTTTTTCCCTGTGCTCTGAGCTACAACTCATTGCTTTAAACAGTAGATTGAGTTTGATCCGTTGCTATGGAGAGGGATGTATTTTATTATTCTGATCCCATGTCCAAGGGCTTTACCTAAACCTTTTCACAAGTAGAGCAAATTTATTTGAAATTACTTTTGCGGAGTTTTTACATTTCTTTAAATTGTGATTTTGTTCATTATGATCTCCAGAGATGTCCATGTCACACCTATATGGGCGGAGAGATGAGGAGGAGGAGGGTGTTGAGGTTGAGAGCTTTGAGGTGACAGACTGGGACCTGGCCAACGAGTTCAACCCAGACCGCCACAGACACAGGCAGACCAAGGAACAGGCCACTTACGGCATCTGGGCTGACAGGGATTCAGACGAAGATGAGAGGCCCAGCTTTGGTGGCAAGAGGTGAGGCGTGGGTTTGTTTTTGCTGCTGCCCACAGCTTTAAAGTCTGCCATTAGTAGGAGATTGAGTTTGCTGTCTGTGTTTTCATTGCTAGATCTAAAGACTACACTGTCCCAGTGAACTTTGTGAGTGCTGGTCTGCGAAAGACGGCAGCAGAGGAGAAACAGCTGAAAGGGGAAGGAGGGTCTGATGACTCTGATGATGATGGTCCTGCAGCTCCTCCACCTTCTCGTGCACCCAAAAAACTCCAAATGGTAAATTTGGTTATGTGTGATTTGTTTGTGTGTACATTGCAGATAAATATCTCAAAGAAGTTTATAGGAACAATTATATGCTGAATTGTTTTGTTAGGGTAATTTCCGTGGGAATCAGTCACAGAGGTTTGCAGGTGGCATACAGTCTGGACATGGCATTGGCAGCTGGGAGAAACACACTAGGGGAATTGGGCAGAAACTACTGCAGAAAATGGGCTACCAACCAGGAAAAGGCCTGGGAAAGAATGCTCAAGGTAGGGTGGGAAAGGCTGAGAAGGCCACATTAATGAAGTATTTAAGAGTATTGTGTGTATTTCAGAGCTGATCTACTTTGTTTTCCACACTCTCATTTGCTGCAGGTATTGTAAACCCTATTGAAGCAAAGGTTCGTAAGGGAAAGGGGGCAGTCGGAGCCTATGGAAATGAGCGAACCCAGCAGTCTCTCCAAGATTTTCCTGTGGTGGACTCTGATGAAGAGGAGGAAAAGGTACAGTGTGCACATAAATGTGCTTTTCCTTTTTCTATGTGTAAGCAGATGTTGAATTGTAGAGTCATTTTTTTACATTAATCTAAATTCGTGCTGATGTAGGAGTTCCAGAAGGAGCTGGGCCAGTGGCGTAAGGATCCTGCAGGGTCGGCAGGAAAGAAGAAACCGAAGTACTCCTACAGAACTGCAGATGAGCTCAGAGCTAAAGGCAAAGTGGCGGGGCGGGCTACAGCGGCATCTGCTGGGGAGCTGGCACAGGTCAAGGTATTAGTGCTTTTTTGTCCTTTCTCAGAGGTGTGTTATAAGGGCACTGTGGCTTGGCTGTATTTTTACAACAAACTTTTGCAGCTAAAGTTAATTGTAGTCAGTATTAGACTCTATGGGTGAAGTTGTTTGGTGTATCTATATAAGCACATGCGCTCTGCTATTATTGTTTGTTTTTAACCTTTTTTACCCCATACCTGCCCCTGGTGCCTAGGTGATAGACATGACTGGAAGAGAGCAGAAGGTGTACTACAGTTACAGTCAGATATCCAACAAGCACAGTGTTCCTGATGAAGGTCCACCAAGCATGTCTACTCGGGATCAGAAGGGATCATGCTTTGCGCTCCCTGAGCTTGAACATAACCTTCAGCTGTTGATAGACCTTACAGAACAGGACATATTACAGGTATGAGGATACCAAAATTGTTTTTCCAAATATATTTGGCTATAACTAAGATAATGCCTCCTTATTAGATCAGCAAACTGGGGCTTCCTTTATAATTTAGCAGATTTTTACTATTTATTTTTTTTAATCTCTTTCTTTTTTCATATAACCCCGGTATAGTCTGCCAGACGTCTGCAGCATGAAAAAGATGTTGTTGTTTCTCTGAGCCACGAGTCAAGAGCCTTGCAGAACAGACTGGATACGGAGCAAGATGCCATCCAGAGAATGGAAGCTGTGCTGGCATTAGTGGAGCGTTTTCCATCTGGGGAGACACCACCAGGGGAGGGTCCTACTCTGCAGGTGCATATAAAAAGAGAATGGACTGAGCACCTACACCTTTTTAGAATTTTGTATTAGGTGTAAAGTTTCAAAGCAGTCTTCTGTCAGAAAATCATTTAAAAACCGGAGAATAAAACAACATAAAAACATGTGCAAAAATTGTGAAACAGAGACAAAGTGAGAACAGGATGGAAACTGAGTGCTTGCTCAGTTTTCATGTAATCATTTTAGTAATTTTTGGTTCTTCTCTTTGTTCAGGAGTGTGCTCGCATCTTTGAGACCTTGCAAACAGATTATTATGAAGAATACAAGATGATGGGTTTAGCAGACCTTGCTGTAGCTGTTGTTCATCCGTTACTTAAAGAAAAACTTCATTTCTGGGACCCCCTGAAGGTACATTTTTGCGAGTATATCTTTTAAGATAACTGCATCCTTTTTACATGTTAATAATTCTCTACCACATTTTAATTATTATTTCAGGACAGCTCTTACTGTCTGGAAGATATTGGTCAGTGGAGAGCAATCCTTGAATCTCGGGATATGCACTCCAGTGGCCCAGATTCAAATATGGATCCTTATCACAGGTAAATTTGAACACACAAACATATATTAGGTTGTGCTTTGTGTATTTATGTGAATAAATGTTGGTTATATGTGATCTAGCCCTTTTTTTTTTTAACTACATGTGTCTGTAAAATGCGTGTGGTCTTTGTGTTTCAGACTCTTATGGGAAGTGTGGATCCCAGTGATGCGGACTTGCGTGTCAGGCTGGCAGCCTCGTATGGTCGGGCCGATGGTGGACTGTGTAGAAGTGTGGGCTCCTCTTTTGCCCCTGTGGATACTGGATCACCTGTTGGAGCAGCTGATCTTACCCAGATTACAGCGAGAGGCAAGTCACACACGCTGATAAAGAGAAATATTTTTGATTTGCTCCCATTATTTATGAGTGAAAAACTGTTTACTATATGCTATACTGACCTTATGCCTCCATCAGTATCAAAGGCAGTTTTGTCACATGTAAACCTCTCTCTTTGTTCCCTGTTTAACAGGTAGATAACTGGAACCCTTTAACTGACACGGTGCCTATCCACTCCTGGATCCACCCTTGGCTGCCTCTGCTCCAGTCACGTCTAGAGCCTCTTTATCCGCCAATTAGGAGCAAACTGTCCAACGCCTTGCAGCGCTGGCATCCCAGCGATGCCTCAGCTCGCCTCATCCTACAGCCGTGGAAAGATGTATTCACACCAGGTGCATGGGAGGCCTTCATGGTGAAAAACATCATCCCTAAACTAGGTATGTCTTCATCTGTGATGACGTCATGTGTGTGCTGGGAGGAAAATCGAAGGAGATGAGCCAACCTCTTATTAAAGTCAAGCCTTGCCTCATTAATTAGGTTTAGGCACAGGTGTAAGAAGTCAGAAGTACAGTTACCTATTTATTTGACTAGAGTGGATGTTTTAATTGTGACATTCAAAAGATGGGGATTTATAACATATACACTCAGTTTAGACCTGGTAAATACGATAAACAACTGAACAGAAGCTATAAATCGACAGGAAACTGCACCAGTGTGCCAAAGACATGAATGAAAATGAACCCCTCCACGTTTCCATTCTCAAGTAGCCCCACTGATATCTCTTCATGCAACTGCTGATCTTTCTCTCTGCAGCTTTGTGTCTGGAAGAGCTGGTTATCAACCCTCACCAGCAGCAGATGGAGCCATTTCACTGGGTCTTGGACTGGGAGGGCATGCTGTCCCCCTCTAGCCTCGTGTCACTGCTTGACAAAAACTTTTTCACGAAATGGTTACAGGTCAGTGAATTAAAATGTACTCAGAACTGAGCATTTTGGTGTTTCATATAATTGCTTTTTGGATTTTATACCTTTTGGGTTTGTTTTTTTTTTGCTTTTTGTGGATTATAGGTCCTGTGTTCATGGCTGAGCAACAGTCCCAACTATGAGGAAATCACAAAGTGGTACCTCGGCTGGAAAAGCATGTTTAGTGACGTCTTGTTGGCCCAGCCCCTCATTAAAGAGAAATTCAATGAGGCTTTGGACATCATGAACCGTGCGGTCTCCTCAGGCATAGGTTCGTACTCCACAGTCTGAAGATGTATAATAAACACACAAAAATGAGTATTACTCAAAGTATAACTTTCTTTTTTTCGTGTCATTTCAGGCGGTTATATGCAACCTGGAGCGAGGGAGAACATTGCATATCTCACACAGACAGAGAGACGCAAGGACTTCCAGTATGAAGCCATGCAGGAGCGCAGGGACGCCGAGAGCGTGGCCCACAGAGGGATCAGCGCCGGTGTGCCGACTAACTTTAAGGATCTCATCCAGGCCAAGGCAGAGGAGAACAACATCGTTTTCATGCCCTTAGTGGCTAAACGACATGAGGGAAAACAGCTGTACACATTTGGGCGTATTGTTATCTACATAGATCGAGGGGTGGTGTTTGTGCAAGGAGAGAAGACTTGGGTACCCACATCTCTGCAGAGTCTGATCGATATGGCAAAATGAGCGTGGACTGACATATTTAGGTCTGACAACTATAAGGAAAACAGGAAATATCTTTTGTTTTTAAGTAACTTCTCTAACATATGTCTCTTTCTCTAAGAGGTCAGAATTGTGAATAAATAACTTTTGAATGCATGCTGACTCTCTTTATTGCTCAAAAATGAATTTTAAATACTGTACTTGTACAGTGAAAAGCACATATGTTTTCACATATTGCACATTTTTATACAAAAGCTGGTTAACGGTCACAGTGTTTATAATGTTCTCTTGATACACATACAAAAACAGTACTTATCTTCAATGTTTCTATTGTAACATCAACAGTTAAGTAATTGGAGTACATTTTTGGTGTTGTTCATTTTTCTTTTTGTCTGTGACAGCGTATTGGTCTGTGTGGAGGTGACCATTTATACCCACAGGTTAATTGGCTTTACGAGAGGCAAAAGACCTACAAGTCTCACAAGAAAAGTGTCTCCTAAAAGAAATCCCTGCTGAACCTTAACGGACTGAAAAGCAGCTGAGCTGATCATAGTTTTCAACATTTAATCGTTTTAATAGAAAAAAGGAATGACTTGAAAAATAAGACTTGCACAAAAATAGCTTTAGCTTTTATTTATGTGCATAAGAACAAACAAACTTGCAGCATATTCGTCCATGATATGATTGTTAGCAAACCCTTAACTTGCAGTTTTAAGGTTACGTTTTTAGAGTAGCTTTAAGCATTATTCAACAGATTGAAACCCTATTTGTGAACATTAACAATGCGATACAAACGATAACAGGAAGGTGGCAGTTGCTGCTGCTTCCTCCTGTTTGAGGTGTTTTGGCACATCAGGGCTTCCGTTGGAAGTGGGCGCTTTGCGGTGTGAGCTGCGAGTTAGTTCATTTGTTCGTGATTAACGGTTTTGCACCAAGAAGGTATGTGAATATTTATATATACATATATAGTTGAACATAGCCTGTGGTTTATTTAACATCTAACATGTTTAATGTGGTTTAATGAGCCGCAAAACTAACGATTGCTATCCAATGAACTACCGTAGCACAGTGCTAACATTAGCCAGCTTGCTAACAGAAAGGTATTCACGGCTTTTAAGGTCATATTTTCCATTGTTATCCAGCTACTCATGTCGTCGGACGCCCTGAAAAAACGAAAGTCCAAGGTTCTCCGCAACGAAGGAGGAACCCCGGAGATGAAGCGGGGTCGAGCAGATGCGGACCAACAGGTAAAGTTGAGGAGAAGATACACGACTCCTCGATCACCTGTGTCATTATCAAAGTGGCTTTGGGCAGTAATGCACAGACGTTAGTATACATTTTAAAATTAAAGTATTTAGACCCTAATGTGCTAAGCAGTGTCTGCCCTTTAAAGTTGATACAGTTAAAGTGGTCCTTTTACACAAATACATCTTCTATCTGAATTAGATTTTCAAATGGAAAGCATAGAGACTGTTGAATCAAACAGCGAGACTCTTGTTTATAATAAACCTGGGTCATTTTCCCCCAAACCCACGATTTCCAACTTCTAACTTTAATGAGGTTGTTTCCACTTTTGTCGCAAAATTCTGATTTAATACTCTTTCAGTACAGGAGGAAGAAAAGCTCATATACTTTTGAAGTATTTACACTACTTAGTGTAGTGGTGCAGACCAACAGAGAGATGGGGACGCTGGATTTACATGGAAGCATGTTGGGAAAATGTGAAGAAACGAGCGAAAACGTAAAATGAGCAGCATCTGGCTGACATATCAATGATATGTCTGAGTGTCTAAAGGAGTCTCACAGGCCTGATTGTACACTTCAAGCCATTTATAATTCTTAACTTGTTAACAACACAAAACTGGAGCATCTGGGTGAAGAGCTACTGTAATCTTAAACTTCTTTACACTGATATAATACCTGCTTCACACTTTAGTCTAACAGTAACAAAAGTATCTTAACCTTGTAACTCTTCAGGAGCTGCACAGTGTTGTTGCATAATAAAAGTGAAATTGAAAAATATTTTCTACATGGGGTGTTCAAACTTTTTAATCACTTGCTAAAAGCTCCTTTTACCAGCATGTACCCGAATTAGTAATTTTCTTCCACAGTTTGCTCTTACTGTTAAACAGAACACAACTAACAAGTGTAGGTAGCATTGTTTGTTTGAGTCACTCGTTTATCTTTGGGCCGCACCTCACCAGCTGCTAGCATCTCCTCCTCACATACCTTTGTAGACTGGTTGTGCTCCATGATGTGTTTTTGCCTCAGCCTTAATGGAAACAGAGAGTTTTTAAACTGCAGTTAAAATGATCCAGGAGGTCAGTTCCAGCTGAAGGGGTATATTCTGCCTGTGTGTTTTATAATGTGGATCCTACATTTTATCCTTAGAAATTTAGAGTTCACTCAACAGCTTTCAGCAATTTATAATGTTGTCTTTGTTCTGGATCTATACTGAAATACCTTTGAATGATTAGCAGTTTTAAAAAGGTGTTTTATATCCATCCTTTATACTGCAGCTCATCTCACCTCACAACATATTATAGACCAAAGTATGAAATGCAAAATATATCACCTTTAAGTCATATTTAACTTAGTTACACTTAGACCTCTCAGAGCAGTTAAATAAATGATATCAAGTTTAACCATGACTAATATCTTATAGTTATACATCCATCCTCTTCTGATTAGTGTTATCAACCCCCACCCCCGTGTGAACCTTGTACTTAATATACATTTATGTCATATATTTACTTACTAATTTATATACTTTTTTTGGCCAGGATGTGCGTGTGTATCATGAGGAGGTGGAGCTTGATGGCAGGGACCCTCAGCAGGACTACATCCAATACAAAGAAACATGTCAGAGTCTGGCTAATCTCATGAGTGAGATCCAAGAGCTTAAGGCCAACGGAGCTAAGGACGGGGTAAGAATGTGTCATTATATGCTGATTTAATGGCAAACGATTCATGTACAGCAGACACCTTACACATAGAGTTTGTAGTATAAGTATATCTAAAGCACCATAACATTTGTGTCAATAATAATGAAGGGCAACTGGTTGTATGTCTCCTCAGTGTGCAGAGGTTGAGAAGAAACGTATGCAGAGCTGCATCCACTTCATGAATCTGAAAAAGCTCAATCGACTTGCTCATATGCGTCTAAAGAAAGGCAGAGACCAGACACACGAGGTAACTCCCACGCAAGTCTCAAGCACTCTCAAGTAAAACCAAGTAACAGCTTAGGTTACTATCACTCTTTCATTCGCTTACTAAAAAAAGTGCTGCCTCAAGCCTTAAACTTCAGTATTGTATTATGCATCTAAAAATATTTACTTAGAGTTTGCGAGTCAACTTTAACAATCTCTCTGTCTCTCCTCAGGCAAAACAGAAAGTCGATGTGCTGCACCTTCAGCTGCAAAATCTGCTGTATGAAGTCATGCATCTTCAGAAGGAGATCAGCAAGTGTCTGGAGTTCAAGTTAGTAAAAAAAAAAGATTTCATTTAAAATTGCTCATTGGTTTTCCTAACTTGAACTTACAGAGAATAATTAGAATAGCGTTAGTTGCTTATTAGTTCCCTTGTTTTTAGTTTATACTTAGATTTTCAGAAATGTGTCACAGTAGTAATGAGTACTCGTTTCCATATTCCAGGTCTAAGCATGAAGAAATTGACTTGGTGAGTGAAGAAGAGTTTTACCAGGAGGCACCGCCGGAAATTTCCAGGCCTCAACTCACAAAAAATGACCCCCACCAACTCACACTGGCGCGACTGGACTGGGAGCTTGAACAACGGAAGAGGTATTTTAAAAAAAAAACAACAACAAACAAACCACAAGGCGCAGTGAAGGATTTGTGCCTGCACAAAGCGTTTGCAGCATGTTGTGTTTAAAAACTAATTTGCTAATGGATAATAGGGACACTGAACACTTGTTAAGAGTAGGGATGTGTATTGTTTAGGTTTTATCCGATACCGGTGCCAAACCGGTACTTTTGAAACGGTGCTTAAACGGTGCTCAAACCGTGCTTAAAGAATGGAGAACACAAAATTGGTCCAAAAACCTCTCATGTTCAGCTGTTTTTTTGTAAAAAGATAACAATGTTAGCCTTTTCTGCAGCTATGGGGCATATATGGTATCACTCTTGGCTGGAAGCAGTGCTTAGACAATGGAAAAAACACAAACTTTGTCCAAAAACCTCTCATGTTTAACTGTTTTCCACTTTTTCTTTGGCCTTTTTGGCCAGGGTGAAGGGAGTATCTGCCATCAAACAAAAAGACAGCCGCATGTAGCTATGATGGTGTTTGCTAGTTCACCTTACATGCATTAATGTAATAACGTGGTTAGCCTACTCAATGTAAATTACACACGGACAACATTAAGCTACTCACGCAGAGAAGAACGGCTGCTGCTGCATCATCATCCGTCATCATTTCTGCTGCACTGGCAGGGCTAGGGGCCAGGACTCTCCTCTTCGTGTTTTTGGGGGATGTTTCTAACTCCGGGTCCGATAACAGGCACCACACCCGCAGTAGATGTGCTCGGTGTGAGGTCTCGCAGCAAGCTATCAAATATGGCGCATTTCTCGGCTTTTAAAAAAAAACGCTATGCGTCGCCAGGTGTTTCATCGGATTTGAGGTGTTACCTCCTTTGACAGTATCACAGTATCAGCTTAAAGCACTTGTTGCAGGCTGCTGAGTTTGCATATTTTGCTGTGAAGTACAGCCAGACTTTTGACCGCTTCGCCTTGGACATTTTTAATATGTAGCTCTGCTCTAAAAGAACGTACGTACCTGGACCCACCTACTATCCTCGGAAACGTAAAATGATTGGCTAGAATTCGAAGTGTATGACATCTCAGGGAAATAAAGCACCGAAATGTGCGCTGCTTTTCGGTCTGGTTACTACCATTTATGTCAGAACCGGTGCCATCATGGCACCGGATACCGGTACCCATCCCTAGTTAACAGTCTATTGTTGGATGCAGGTTGGCAGAGAAATACAAGGAATCACTAGCGTCAAAGGAGACAATTCAGAAGAGCATTGAGGTGAAGAAGGAGCATCTGAGAAGCTTGCAGCCAGGTCTTAATGCCATCATGCAGGTATCATTGCTGTGTTAATTCATAGTTTGTAATCTAAAGAAAAGCTCAGCGGTGTT